TGTGAGATATTTTGTCGAGTTGAGTGTTATCGAAGTTTTTGACTCCGCGTTGCCAGGGATCTGGCCATTTGCAACCAGCGTGAACGCCTCATTGAAATACATTACCTCACTCCGCATCCCCGGCGCAGAGCTTGACGCCATCTCAGTAATGGAAGGCGCTACCTGACGGAGACGTGGTGAGGCGTGGGTGTGGAAGAGAGATAAGTGGACACTGCTGATTTTAGACGTCGGAAGATGCGCTGTGCGGTGGCAAGGCTTCATTGATTCGTGAATGGTCAGTTGCCTTGACCGATTGTTTTGCTGACTTCAATTTCCGTGGTGTTCATGAATTCTTGGATCTTTGTCGAAAGCAGTATATAGTACTGGTGCTTGTAGTAATGTCCCAAATTGAAACAGTTTAACCAGCAGGCAGAACCAAGGAAATAAGCACAGATTATAACGCCAAGGAAAGTCACACAAAGAGAGAAAAATAAGCAGCTGCTTTCTAAGAAAAATCTTTGCTTTCAAGATGTTTCTTCATTCCCGCTTCATCCCTTGTAGTGTTCGTCTCGCTTGAAGGCAGATGTTTCATGTCCGTGAACGCCGTTCCTCCTCCAGCTTTACATCTCCGCTGATGCGTGAGAGCAAAACCGCATTACGCCAGAGCTGGGCCGAAACTCAAGCTGACACTCGCACACACGCGCTAATGGAAAGATGGGCCGAGATTCTCCTTTTTTACGATTCACGGCGTCTGTTTCGCCAGCGTGCCGCTTAGGAAGGGGGAGGCGATGTAAGATAATAGTTAAATGTGGCAATCGGGTTCCGTAGAGTTTTGCGGACCATGCGGTCGATGCTTGTGCTCCTTATCATGTTTTTATTTATTTATTTATTTGTTGATGTTACCATTTGTTTTATTTATTTGTTTAGGTTATCTTTTATTTATGTATTTATTTATGTTATTTTTTATATATTTATGTTATCATTTATTTATATATTTATGTTATTATTTATTTATGTATCTATGTTATCACTTCATATTCAGTCGTTTATTTCTTTCACATGACATAGCCGTTAAGCAGCGAGTGTTGAGCTAGTATTTTTTCTGTGCAGTAATGAACCATTATTTTTTTTTTCCTAGAATATAGCATTTAATATATTTTCCCGGACCTGCATGCAACTCCCCTTTGTAATATTTCTTGTTCCGTTAGTATCACTCAATGGTTTCAAAATGCTTTAGTAGCATCTCTTCAGTCATATTTTGCCCTGATGGTTTCTAACACATGTTATCGGCTACTTTTGAATGTCTGCTTACTTGATCATTCCATTTTTTCCATACAAACTGAGGGATAAGGAAAACGTCATTATACAAAATAATGAATAGAGCCTTTGTTTGCCCTGCATTAGGAAGTGATATAGTTTAAATATACCTTTCGACTTCACAGGGACGTAGAGCTTCTGCGGATTTATTTTTATTTTTTTTCCCTCCTGGTTGTTCAGTTGATCATTTGGTCATTTACATTTGCTTCTTTTCAGTTCTTTCAATATTTTTACAATCATCATTCTTAATAACTACATATCCTTACTTTTTCTTTTTTCCTTCTCTTTCACGTCTCAATAACCATTATTGTATTCATGCTTGCACTATTGTAATTTGCTAAATTTTCTTTTGCTAAATGCTTCTTGTTCTATTTATGTTTTCCTTTGCGGTAATATCTTTCGCTCTTTTATCAATATTATCACTCGATCAGGCGCTTCTTCGTCTTCGCCTTTTATACTCCGACTGTCTGCGTTCTTGGAACACCAGAAACGAATTTATGGACGTGATATATCCCCGTTGCGAAGCCTAGGTGGTGCGAGGCAGCACTTGAGGCCCGGTAATGGAGCTGTCTTGCGGATGCTGGAGGCGAAAGATGGATGTTGTTGACCACACACTGAAGCGTAGGTTTGCTCGACCGTCGTTTAAATAAGTGAGGAGACTTGCGGCGCTTTACTTCTGTGGGGTTCTTTGTAACGGTACTGTTTAAAATAATCAGTTATTGGCCGAGTTTTCTTCGTCACGTAACTTTATTTGTTTGTTTTTGGTTGAGTTCTGTGTATGTAATGTATATGTGTATTCAGAAACACTGTGTATATAAGCGATAATACGCGTATATATTACCGAAAATGTTGTCGAAGTAGTGAAACTGGAATTAAGAAGTGATTTTGAAACACCGTGCAGGACAAAGGAAATGAAGTGTGTTGTGTGTGACCCGTAGAGTTATTGACGCTTGGCGGAAATCCAAGGAAGACATGTTGCAAAGGAGGTAAAAGGCTAATGTAACGCCATTTCTTTTTCAGCTATTTCTGAATGAGGCTAAAGTGTTGACCATATGTACTGGTGAACTGTGTAAATATTTTAAAAAGAAATAGGGCGAGACTAGGCGGGTATGTGAGGGTGGGCGTGCCGTGCCCGCGGGCGGGCGCCGCGCAACAATGGCTCACGAGGCGGGGCGGAGACCCTCCGGGGACCGCCAGGCATCCAAGGCCAGCTCCACTACTCGCACCTCCATGAGCGGCCTCCTCCCCAGCCCAGTCGTGTGTGGTGATGAACCTAGCTTTGTCACGCTCTACCAGAATGGCGGCTCTAAACGGTTAGTCGAAGGCTATGACGCCAGTGCGAAATACAACGGGTCCAGCAGGCAGCATGAGAACGGAGGCCGCCTGGGATTAGCCAATGGCGAGCGGTCGTCGGACTCCGAGGACTCGGGTGCCACCAGCGGCGCCACCAGCGGGAAGGAGGCCAGCCCGGGCTACGAGGAGAGCTCAGGCTCGGAGCAGAGCAGCGGCCCGCCGCTCTCCGAGGAGAATCGTGGAGACGACGAAATGGACCCGGAGCCAAGACTGGTGAGATCTGCGTTGCCGAGATCTCAGACGACGCCCGTGCTGAACGGCGACCACACGCTAGACGACGTGCTCCGGCCGCTGACCCACTATGGTCAGGAATCTCCTAGCAGCGAGAGCAGCCGCCTCAGCAGCGACCTGAGCCGCATTCGAGCGGCGCACGAGATAAATATTAGCAAGTTAGCGTATCTCGAGGCGCTCTTCCAGCGTGCCAAGCTGGAGGAAATGCGACTGAAGAACCTCAACGCCAGCAGAGAAACGAACGAGGCACGGAGCGCCAAGTCAGGCTCCAAAAGCTTACAAAGTCCAGAGAGCGGTTACAAGTCGCTGCCGTCCTCGGTTTCGGATTACGGACTCAGAAACTACGGGTCGGGACACAGTTCTTCCTCCACCAACAACAGCAGTTGCGGGTCCACCTTGCCCGATGGCCAGGCTCTGCTGCGGACTATCGAGAACCGGTTGCAGCTGGCGCGGCCGCAGGAGAAGAGCAGCAGTCGGTCGCTGTACCAGTGCGGCGGAAGTAGCAGCGTCGGGAGCCTCAGCAGGCTAGCGACTGGTCATAGCCCGGCCACGAGCGGGACGTCCACTCCCGCCAGATTCGTTTCGCCCTCGCGTTCAGAGGCTCACGGGGGCTCACAGGGAACCACCCCCGGCAGCACCCCAGCCACCACACCGGGGGGGACCCCAAAGCGACCCGAAGGGCTTAGTCAGAGCCGTTCCATGGGTCACGTCAGCCAGCGATCTCTTCCGCACAACTATCGTAGCCGCTCTGCATACAGCTCGCCTGCAGTGTCCCCTCAGCGAGGCCCCGACCCCGCTGGATTCCTCGTGTCCCCCTCGGGCGGGGTTCCCAACACCCGTAGGTTTTCCAGCCTAGACCTGAGGGGTCGTGGCCAGCCACGGCAACTGTCCTTGCGGCACACCGCCCACGGCTACCCGACGGTGGTCCTCCCCATCAGCCCGCCCTCGCCTGCTCAGGGCACGCAAGCATTCCATCGGAAAATGCAACTTTTCTTCGAGATAATGGATACGCAGTCAAGATTCTCACAGGTAGGCGCGGTTTCCCAAGCCTTAGCCTCCAATCGCTGAAATCACTTCTTACTTGTGCTGACTTTAATTCTCTAAGGTTAAGCATTTCCTGATGGGAGTCCGTGTAGCAAGTATAGCTAGGTTTGTATTGCTTCTTAACTCACTCACTAACTTTTGAATGGCTAATATAATACTTGATTCACTTTGTAGGGAAACTCACGCATTGTATGAATTCACGCTGTATATCCTTAGCTTTATGAGTTGGTAGTACTTATCTCTTTATCTCTTTATTAGGAGTCTCGAATCACGTTAGAAAACAGTTTCCAATCAGATACTAAACCTATTAACATTAGGGGAAGAGGTAGTTGGGTCACAGCTTCAATCTTAAAGCTTAGGCACTGTGTATGTACTGTATATATGTTCTCTCTAATGTACAGTCTCGTTTTCATAGCCCGCTCAGTCCTCCCTCTCAGACCCGACTCGGCAAAAGGTGGGTACAGCACATTCCCTCTTGCGGTGCCTTCCTCTCCCGTACATGCCTGTTTCCAGAGTGATTGTCTTCTCTTTCCTTTACCTTTCTCTGTATTGTCTCCTTTATTTACCTGTATTTTGTGCCAAGGACGGGAAGGCACCTTTGTATGTCTTTTTTCTCTGAATTGTCTTACTGAATTGCCTGTAGTCTGCGCCTAGGACAGTGGCACTTTTTATTTCTTCTTAAGTATTATAATTAAAATTATCATTATTATGATATTTTTTTAGTCTTTCTTTACCCCGCAATTTACATATACTAGAAGTATTTATATAATCTAGAAATGTATAGATTGTATTCACGATTTTTAAAAAATGTGTAATTAACGAGATTTGTTTATTTTGATGTAATAGACAGTTAACTAATTTTGCAATTTAATTCCTTTAGTGTCAGAACCTGTCGTAATAAACCTTGATAGTTGAATTGTGCTGAGTGATTGATTCTCTGATTCTTGATATGGTGAAAAAGTATTGATGACTTACTAAGTGTATATTGTGCATCCTTTATATTATGAATGAATTATGTCAAGCATTCTATTGTAACCAATTATATATACTTCAACATACTTTTAACTTTTTTCCAGGTACGTTTGGAGATATTTTACCAAAATGGTTAGAGGAAACTGTAAGTACATTATGAAGAATCTTTTTGTAAGTGTAAAATATTGTAATAACTTTGCATGCTTTGTTATAGCCATTTCTGGTTACGCTTTTATTTATTTGGATATGTTTTAAAGTTGAAAAGATGTAAACAGAAGTTAGTGTATACAATTTTATAAGTTCTTTTTTTATTGTTATTATTATTTTGTTATTGCCATTGTTAGTGGTGCTGTTGCTGTTGTAACTAGTATCATTAGTATTAGTATTATTATTATTATCAGAATTAGAATGTTGTTGTTGTTGATTTTTTTTTATTCGTGTGAATAATCTATTTATAACATCAGTAGGTTTTAAAGCCTTTAAGTATGATTAAGTCTTTCTTATTGAACGATAAGGTCTGGAACCTTTAGCTGTTTCTAGGGTCTGATATTCTTTTAGTGAGAGAGAGAGAGAGAGAGAGAGAGAGAGAGAGAGAGAGAGAGAGAGAGAGAGAGAGAGAGAGAGAGAGAGAGAGAGAGAGTATGGAAAATTGGGAATTGTGTGTGTGTGTGTATTTATATTATATATATATATATTTATATATATATATATATATATATATATATATATATATATATATATATATATATATATATATTATATATATATATGTATATATATATATATATATATATATATATATATATATATATATATATATATATATATATATATATATATTATATATATATTATATATATATATATTATATATATATATATTATATATATATATTATTGGAAAATTGGGAACAACCAGCGGTGCAAGAGGGAATAGGTAGAACAGAACGAAGAGCTGATAAGCAACAAAGCGAAGGCGAGGGAAGGACGAAGACGAGAAGATGCAAGGAAGCCTCGATGAATAACTAGAAATTTTATAGAAAGTTATGAAGGCTCGGGGAGGCTTGACGTCGTAACAATATTCTTTTGCCCTGATGATTAATTAGACGTGAAAGCGGTAGGAGTGGATGCCCGTGGCGAGTTAAAGGTCACGGCAGATCTCGCTGCACCGGGGAGATATGGAGGCACCTCGAGGGGAAAGGGGAGGAAGGTGGCGATATAAGGAAATACCTCTGGGGGGGGGGATTGAGGGAGGGAAGGTTTTAAGGAGATGGGGAGATATGAAACTATCTCAGGGGGGGAGTGGAGGCAGATGGGGAATTGGATAAATGCTTCAGGGGGGGGGGGGGAGAGGAAAGGTTGGAGGGAGATGGAGATATAGAGAAACACCTGGGGGCGGGGGAAGTTAGAAGGAAGTATGGAGGTATCTCTCTGGGAAGATGGAGGGAGACATGGGTAGGTGGAAAAAATATATGCGAGGCAGATGGGTGAAGTTGGGGAGTTAGATAAATACCTCAGGGGAAAGAGGGGGAAAGGGCCAGATACTTGTGGTAGAAGAAGGAAAGGGGTTCCTGGAACTTAGGGGAAGGAGGAAGAGGAGTTTTTAGGAATATGTGGAGATATCTCTGGGGAGGGGAGGGAGGGAGGGAGGTGTGAGGGAGATAAGGAGATAGCCCAAGGATACAAAAAGAGGGGATTGGAGCAAAACGGGGAGGTACGGGAGTGAAAGGGGGTTGGAAAGTGCTGAGAAAGGCGAGCTTAGGGGGGGGGGGAGAAATGCGTAAAGTAATGAAAGTGATAGTGTGAATATAGTGAAGAATAAGAGACTATATCACTGACGTTAAGGGATGCCAGTACAAATGACGATGTCCAGGAAAAGGGGCAGGGAGTCGAGAAGGCGAATTTGAACCTCTCGAGGAGGACGGATTGCAAGGAAGTATCGGATCCCCGGCCTCTCCCGCTGCGGCTGCGGATGCGCTGCTGCGGACGGATAGGCACCAGCGGATCTCTCGCGTTGTTGGAAGGGGGGGCAAAGTGAGGGGAGTGGAGAGGAGAGGAGAGATAGGAGGGGGGGGCGACAGAGAGAGGTGGGAGATAGAGAAAGAGGGAGAAGGAGAGGAAGATATAAAGAGAGGAGCAAAGGGAGACAGAGGGAGAGAGACCGAAGGCGGCGTGCGAGGAGCAGCTCACGCCGGGACTTATTTTCCGCTTTTATAGACCGGAAATTCAAACTTTGATCGTTCACTAGAGTCGCAGTTTATATTGTATCATTCGCGCGCGTGCCCGTGTGTCTGTGCGTCTGCATGTGTTTGTTGTGTAGTCGCGTGAGGGATTACGTTAGCCGTCTTAACGCAAAGTTTCGCTTTTTCTCTCTCGGCTCTGCAGTGCTTGCAACCTGGGCGTGGCTGAGCGAAAGATTGAGACAATGGGTGATCGGATATCTGGGCGGGATTTGTTATTCATTTTCACTTTTGGCTGTACTGCGCATGCAATTAGTTCTTTATGTAACTTTCTCTCTTCTCTTCTCTTCTCTTTTATTTCTTCTCTCTTCTCTCTCTCTCTCTCTCTCTCTCTCTCTCTCTCTCTCTCTCTCTCTCTCTCTCTCTCTCTCTCTCTCTCTCTCTCTCTCTCTCTCTCTCTCTCTCTCTCACTCTCTCTCTCTCTCTCTCTCTCTCTCTCTCTCTCTCTCTCTCTCTCTCTCTCTCTCTCTCTATCTCTCTCTCTCATATATATATACATACATACAGATATTCCTTCTTTTTAAAAAATCCTCAATCTCTTTTAACATGTATGTCAGTGGGTACATAACAGAAGTTTGCTTGTTTGTTTCTCGTTTGTTTATTTGCTTCTACGCCTTTGTAAACATTACGTTTTTCTTTCAGTTTCTTTTTATTCTGATTCACATTCAGTCAGGCACTTCAGTTCCAAACTAGATTCCATTCAGCCGTATCGTAACCCTTAATCACACCCTGTCTATCTTACTAGAATTGGGTTGTTTATCAGTGTGTCTTAAATGCTGAGAATATTTGCGCAAGTCGTGGTTGTTGGCCAAGCTGCTGAAAATTGAAAAAGTCACGCTCAAACATTGTCAAGCTTTTTTTTTCTAACACTGCTATCAGAGTTCTGCTTTGAGACAGGGAGTTTGATTAGCTGAATTCGTATGGGGGGGGGGGGGGGAAGAGAAAATGGCAGGGTTTAAGGGTGGGAGGTGAAGCAGCACATAAGTTTCATGTTAAATAATTCACCGCACACACAAGAGGGGCGGTTCCCTGCTGGCTTCCCTCTCTTTTTTTCCAGGAGTCGTGAATAACTGCGAGCAGGAGTGAATCAAGTTAGATAAGTAGTGCCAGCGTGGCTCGTTTTACCTTGGGATTTTTTTCTTTCTTTTTTTTTCCGCTCGAACTTGGATTAGCTGTTTCTCCTGACTGTTTAGTGTTTGTTTCCTTTGGTTCTCTTTCACTTTCTGATTTCCCTTACGGCGCTTCCTTTTTTTTTTGTTTTTGTTTTCTTCTCTCTCTCTCTCTATCTATCTATCTACCTCCCCCCACTTTCTCTCCCTCTTTCTTCCTCTCTCTCTCTTTCTTTCTCTCTCTCTCTCTCTCTCTCTCTCTCTCTCTCTCTCTCTCTCTCTCTCTCTCTCTCTCTCTCTCTCTCTCTCTCTCTCTCTCTCTCCCTCTCTCTCTCTCTCTCTCTCTCTCTCTCTCTCTCTCTCTCTCTCTCTCTCTCTCTCTCTCTCTCTATCTCTCTTTCTCTCTCTCTCTCGCTAGCTCTCTCTCTCTCTCTCTCTCTCTCTCTCTCTCTCTCTCTCTCTCTCTCTCTCTCTCTCTCTCTCTCTCTCTCTCTCCCTCCCTCCCTCCCTCCCTCCCTCCCTCCCTCCCTCTCTCTCCCTCCCTCCCTTCTCCTCCCTCCCTCCCTCTCTCTCTCTCTCCTTCTTTCTCTTTCTCTTTCTCTTTCTCTCTTGCTGGCTCTCACTGCCTTTCTCTCTCCTACGTTTTCTTTTTTTCACCCTCTCTCCTCCTTTGCCTCTCTCTTTCTCCGTCCCTTCCTCCCTGTATCTCTCCGTCCTCCCTTTCCCGCCTCCCCTTCTCTCCCCTTCCCTCCTCCCTCCCCCATCTGCCGCTTTCTTTTTTCCTCGAGCGCACATTCTCTCTCATTTTCGCTGAGCGTTTTCACTTGTCATCAGAACTGCGTCATGGCGGTAATGGACGAAGTTAGAGTAAGAGCAAGAGATGGAGCAGTACCCGGATGAAAGAGGAGGGGAGCGCTGCCGACCGCTCTCCGGCATCTGCGACATCAGCCGCCGCGCCGACCGCATTTTTTGCTGAGTCACGTACTTATCACCATCGGGGGAGTGTCGGATGCTGATAGTTTATGTTTGGTTTACTGCAATAGTGTGGGTTATTACGGCAGTTTTCCAGGAAATGCACTATTGTTACCAATTTAGGTGTTTAACTGAAGCACTAAAACTTTTTCTTCGTCATTGGTAATGTATACGATTGTAAGAGGAGAAATAGGAAATCTCATTTAGAAAAGTAACAAATGCACGTAAAACAGGATGAAATAGGACACCCCATCACCGCCCGTCCCTCGCCGTGGAAAGTCAGGAAATTCGTGAAAGAGTTTCCCCGCGCAGAGCCGAGCCATTAAAAACGCAAAGCTCAACTCCGAGTTGAGATGAGTGACAGGGAGTAGAAAGGCGCTTGTTGTTGCCGCGGTAATCGCATTTGGTGGCGTGCCTTTACTTTTCTACGCCGGCTGCTTTGTCAGACGCCGCCAACACGCGACGCCGGCGACCGCGACCACTACCCGCTGGCACTGCCGACTCCCTCCCGCGACAGAGCACACAAAAATCGCAGTTTATCCTCCGCCCCCAGGGGTTGCGTGGCGTAATTGGCTTCTTTCTTTATCCTGGGGCGGGCCTCCACTCCGACGGCACTGAGGAGATAGAATGCTTGGGGGAAGGGCGATAAGGATGCTGAAGTGGGCGGGCGGAGAGGGAGCGACGGACCTTGCGCAGGACGCGGGTGGGTTGGACGCGGGTGGGTTATGCGCCGGGCGGGTTCCCCACAGGTAAGGGTGGACCGTCGTGAGGCGTGGACTGTGTCATTATCATATTCCTTCTGGCCTTCCCTCCCCCTCCTCCCCT